TCAATTAATATTTGACAAAGGAGGCAAGAGCATACAATGGAGTCAAGGCAGTTTTTTCAATAAATGGTGTTGGGATAATTGGACAGGTACATGCAAAAAATAAATAAATAAAACTAGACCACTAACTTTCACCATATACAAGAATATACTCAAAATGGACAAAAGACTTAAATGTGAGTCATGAAACCATAAAAATCCTAGAAGAAAACATGGAAACAAAATATCGGCTGTCTCGTGGAACAGAACTTTCACTGATACATGGCCTAAGATAAGAGAAACAAAGGAAAAATCAACAAATGGGACTACATCAAAATAAAAAGCTCTGCATAGCAAAAAGAAACCAGCATCAAAATTAAAAGGGAACCCACTGTAGGGAGAACATATTTGCCAATGATACATCTGATAAGGGGTTAATTTCCAAAATATATACAGTACTCAAACATCTCAACAAAAAGAAGATAAACAAGCCAATTTAAAACTGGGCAGAAGACCTGAATAGACACTTCTCCAATGAGGACATACAAATGGCCAAGGGACATATGAAAACATGTTCAATGTCACTAATAATCAGAGATGCAAATTAAAATGACAATGAGGTACCACCTTACACCTGCTAGAATGACTATCATCAATAAATCAGCAAACAACAAGTACTGGAGAGGATGCGGAGAAAAAGGAACCTTAGTACACTGCTGGTGGGAATGCAGACTGCTGGTGGGGTGCAACCACTATGGAAAACAGTGTGGAGTTTCCTCAAAATATTAAAAATGAAACTGCCATTTGATCCAGTGACCCCACTTCTAGGAATATAGCCTAAGAAGCCAGAAACACCAATCAGAAAGAATGTATGCACCCCTATGTTCATAGCAGCGCAATTTACAATAGCTAAGATCTGGAAACAACTCAAGTGCCCATCAGTAGATAAATGCATTAAAAACTGTGGTGCATTTACACAATGGAATACTACGCAGCTGTAAAAAAAAAAGGACCTCTTACCCTTTGAGATAGCATGGAGGGACCTGGTGATTATTATGCTAAGTGATATAAACCAGTCAGAGAAAGACAAGTATCACAGGATCCCACTTATATGTGGAATCTAATGAACAAAATAAGCTGATGTATAAAAAAGATCCAGAGACATGGAAGCATTCAACAGACTGATGTATTTCAGAGGGAAGCGGGGGGTGGGGGGGTGGGGGGGGAAGAAAAGTGATTAGCCAATGAATTTATATGCATATATGCATAACTCATGGACAGACGAGGAAGGCCTAGAGAGGGGATGGGAGCATGTTTGGAGGTGTAAATGGGGGTAAAAGGGGGACATCTTTAACACTTTCAACAATAAAGATAAAGTTAAAAAATAAAATAAAATGGCATTAGAATCTGTAGTGGTCTTTTTTCTTATTTCTGTTATTTATTTTTTTTATGAGCCACTTAAGGATTTATCAATTTACCAACCTTTATAAAGGTGGTATAGTCTTTTGTTGATCCTTTTTATATCATGTTTATTTTAATGTCATTAATTAATCCTCATATCTTTATTAATTACTCTCTTCTACATTTTTTGAGCTTTATTTACCATTTGTAATTATTTGATATGGGTGATTGCATTACTGATTTTCATCTTGAGTAATAGTATCAAATGCACACTTTAAAAATATATATCGTACATGTAGAGATGCAGAAACAACTGGACAACTTTTCAACTTTCTAAAGTTTGACAGCAATGGATTAATGAGAAATGCTTTCATGATAATACTAGAGGCTCAGTGCATGAAAATTTGTGCACTGGAGGGGTCCCTCAGACTGGCCTGTCCCCTCTCACAGTCCAGGAACCCTCAGGGGATGTCCTACTGATGGCTTAGGGGAGTGGGCCTAAGCCACAGTCTGGCCACCCTCTGTGGAAGGCAACTGGACCGATCAGGGGAAAATGCCGCCCCCATCACCCCACTGCTGCTGCCACTGCCGGCCGCCACGGCTGCCAGCCTTCCTCGGCCCTCACAGCTGCTGTGGCTTTGTCTGGAAGGACATCCAGAAGACATTTGGTCTATCTGATCTAATTAGCATATTACCTTTTATTTGTATAGATTATATTTATTTTCTTATCAAGTGGTTTTTAGATCTTATGATGAGTATATGAGTGATTCCATAATTACAAGAACATAATGTTGTTACATCTTTTCGGGTTTTGTACAAAAAATAATTTTAGCACTACTGGCCTTCAGCAGAAAGAGAGAAGAATTTTCAGTCTTTAGTCAAGGACAAACTACATGATGTACAAATAATGGAAATGCCCTGGGTAAGAACTCATACAATGATTCCAATGAGATATAGCAGTGGAAATTGCATGCTTAATCAGCAATTTGACCCAAAAAATATTATCCGTGTTATGTTTTGCTGATAAAAATATCTATCACATTGTGTTCATTGTGGAACTTGCCAAACAAAGCAGTCTCCTATGCCTTTATTGTCTAATATTTGTATTTGGTACTTGCTGTACAAACAGCCCTGTCATTTACTCTGAGGAAGATATTAAATTGATGTGAATACAATAAAAGCCAGACCTTTTACAGTTTAGATCATCTGTTTTCTAAAATAGCCAATTAGATACACCCAGCACTTGAACATAAGTCAAAGGGGTTATGCTAAGTATAAGAATCCAGTCTCAAAATAGTATATACTGTATGATTTCAGTTATATTACATGAAAAAACTATCATGATGGAGAACAGACCAATGGTTGCCAGGGATGAGGGGTGGAGAAAGGATACGACTACAAAGGTTCAGAAAGTAAGAGTTTTTGAGGTGGTGGATGTGTTCTGTATCCTGATTGCATAGTAGTTTTACAAATGTATCCATGTGTTAACATTTGGATATAGTTTTATTGCATAAAACTATACAATAAAATGTCAATTTTAAAGCATGTTCATTTAAAAAATAATTTGAGTTTCACTTATGGCCTTGGTGAAAATAGACAGCTTCTCTTTTTATTTTATTTTTTTATTTTTTCTTTATTGATGCAGCGGTTCTCAACCTGTGGGTCGCGACCATCGGAAAACACATATAGCATATCAGATATTTACATTCCGATTCATAGCAGTAGCAAAATTACAGTTATGAAGTAGCAACAAAAATAATTTTATGGTTGGGGGTCACCACAACATGAGGAACTGTATTAAAGGGTCGTGGCATTAGGAAGGTTGAGAACCACTGGAAATGTGTCCTTATCCCCTCATTGTTCCCCCTAACCCCCCAGTCCTGCCCTCCCCCTCACCCCCTTTTGTCTGCGTCAATATGCTTATATGCATGCATACACTTTTTAAACAATGATTGAAACACCTGTTTTCATACCTGAGATAATGGCAAATACCCTTAAGGGAGAGAAGAGTAATGAATGAGGTCAATCCTACAATTGTGTCAGCCTTCTGCCTGGAGGAAACCTACAGAACATTGTTCAGGTAATTGATTGGAATTGAGGAGGTAGAAATGGAATTTTGGGGAGACTGAGGCAGCTGGAACCATAATGTAGAGCTCTGGACAGGATAAAATGTTATATAAAAAAGAGCTTGAGAAAAATGTCTCGGGCCATCCTAGACCAGCTGCACAATGTACTATGAAAGGGGGGACATAACTCCGCGAGGCCAGCAAATAAACGGGAGCTGTAAGCTAAACCAATTCCACAACCCAAACTACAACCCAAAAAGGGTGGGTAGTTGTCTGAGCTCAATACAACCATTTTCCCCCAAAATTTTTGAAAACTGCAGTCACTGATCCCGAAGCTCAACAAACCTGAAGTAAGATAAACAGGAAGAAATTATAAAAGGATACATCACAACCAAATTGCTGAAAGCCAATAATTGAAAGAAACCACATGGCGGGGGGAAATACAGTATACCAGTATACAGAGATACAAAACTTCACTGAAGAGCAAAATTCTCAGAAACTAGACAAGCTAGAAGATGACAGAATGACATATTTAAAGGATTTGAGAAAAGGACAACTAAAATCATATATTCAGCCAAATTATCTTTTAACGTAGCCTCGACTGCCCTGGCCAGTGTGGCTCAGTTGAATGAGCGTCATCCCGTGCACCAAAAGTTTGCCTGTTTGATTCCTATATTTTGTGATGCCACCAACTCAAGAGGTAGTTTCCAGGTCCTGTGGATTCTAATCACTTCTGTCTGGAAATGACACACATGAATTTATATCTGATCCCTTTGGCTAGCTGGGGTCCCATCACCTTACTTCACTGCTAGAGAAGGGATCTAAAAATTATAGGGGCACATGGATATTCAGCGAACAATCAGTGTCTCCAACACTGTCACTTGGTTTTGCATGATCTTGGCTAAGTATTCATCTTAATCTCAGTTGCTTATCTATGATCTGAGACTAATTGATGAACTGGGCCAAGTGAGGTTTCAGTGTAAGAGACTCACAGAGGGCGGTCCTGGCTTCACTCCATTCACTCCATAGGGCTGAATGAGCTTGTGCAACTTTTGAACTTTCCTCCGTCTGTTTATTGCTCTCTCACATGACAGTAGTACTACTGAGGAGTAAATAAAATTTAAAAGTTTTGGTATACTGACTCGACTACAGAGTTAAGTGCTCAAAAACTGTTAGCTATCTTCATGATTGTGGTATAATTTTAACATAACTAGTATTACTTACTGGCGTTCAAAGTTGTAGCAAGACAATCGAAAGTTATAATCCTATAAAAGTTAAGTGAGCCTATACATCTTGCTTTGTAAAAGCTCCCAATACTTTCAAAAGATTTGTTTTCCTTCTCTCTGAGATGTGTTATTTGAATCATATACCGGGTTTGTTGAATTTTCCTCAGGCCTTTAAAAAAAATAATGAAAGTATTCTGCACCTCATAATATGCAATAAATTGTTTGACTGCCTAGCCACCTAGTAAGGAAGTTGGACAAGGCAAAACTTGCAAACAGTAAGTGCTATATGTTTACAGTGATCTTTGTCCTTCTACTGTTTATTTCTGAACAGGCAATGAAACGACACAGGGAGCAGTGGAGTTTGTGTTCAGGAAGTTAGATAACACTTTATGATAGGTCCAAACCTGGTTATGAAAGTTCTGTCTCTGAATATTTCAAAGTGTATTTGCTGCGCTGGCAAGGAGAGCAGACAGGAAACAGCATGGGAAGAAAGACTATTTTGCTCCTGTTGGTGGGCATTTTCACGGCATATTATGGTTATACACCTCTCCCAGATAATATTGAGGAGCCATGGAAACTGATTGGGTTGACCTTCATACTTAACACCATATCAAATGTGGTAAGTATAGAATTTTATTGACTCAATATCTAACAGTTTAATCAGGAGAACATATCTGTTGTATTACTTTTAACAACTTCTACTGTCTTGGACGTTTTGCTCTTTAAGTTGCTGATTTTAAAATCGTTCTTATATTTTAACTATTCCTTAAGGCCGACCACTAGCAGAATGAAAATGAAGGAAGTAGTCAAATGAAGGAAGTAGTTTTGATTTTAAATATTAAAGGACAAATTGTGTCAGCTGAGAAAAACAAAAAGTCTTCTTGTGAGTCATTGGCATGAACACAGCCAGAAGGAAGCATGTTAAAGCATGAACTGCAGGTAGTTTTGATTCTAAATATTAAAGGACAAATCGTGTCAGCTGAGAAAAACAAAAAGTCACAGCCAGAAGGAAGCATGTTAAAGCATGAACTGCAGGAATGGTAGGACTGAGCAATACTCTGGTTAGTTACAACATTCTGTGCAATGATCTTGTATTCAGACATGAAAATGAATTCTTACTGAGATATTTGGAAACAGGTCGCTGGTAAAGGCCAGGGAAATGTGTGATGTCCAGTAGATGGTGAGCTGCTGAGGTGACCAAGCAACTGGCTGACTAGCTGTCCACTATGGCTGGTCCTCAAAGACCTATGGTTCTTTCTGAGTGAAGCTCATTACCTAGAAATGAAACCATTTATTATCTTCTTTAATCTTCTAGGTAGCAATTTGCCTGTAGCAGAAAAAAAAAAAGATAATCCAAGTACAATTAGCCTGACTAATAAAACTCTTGGTTTTTATCAGTAGCAATTTGCCTGTAGCAAAAAATAAATAAATAAATAATCCAAGGACAATTAGCCTGACTAATAAAACTCTTGTTTTTTTAGCGCTTTCCTTGCTCCTCCCCCCCCCCCCCCCCCCCCCCCCAGCACCCAGACACACTCCCTTTTTAAAGGTATTTTAACAATCTCTTTTGGCATTTAATATAGCTTTGAATCAGTGCAATATATAACATAGGCACTATTTCTCAGCTTTGATCATCAGAAATTCAACTGTTATTTACTTCCTTAGCTGATAGAGCTTTGTATGACTAAGGTATAAGAAACGATTTTGTCCATACACTGAGGCATATAAATTCCAGAGTTGGTCAAAATTTTCCCTCTTTATCATTTGAAATTTCAAATTTACGTCAAAAATTGTTTTGGGATTTTAGAGTCGGTATAAAGAGAGTAAGTTGGTCTGAGATATTAATCTGCTGCTCTAATTCATAATACTTTACTAAAGGGAAGAGTCAAAGAAACTTTAAAACCCTAATTATTCAATTCAGACTGCAGAGACACTGGGTGATAGTTTTAGCACACACCAGTGGCTTTTTAGTCTTCAGTTTTATGTTTATCATACTTGCTAGTATAATCTAAAAACTTGTGGAATTATAAAGTCACATTAAAAATTTCATACTTTGTACTTTCTTGTACAACATTGCAATTTGTCTTCATAACTAAATTCCTGTCCTTAAATGGCATAACTTAGTGCCATTCTCTATCATTTAAAAAATATTTGAAATAGTCTCATTCTTTCAGGATAAATGACTTGAGTCCAGTGATAAATGTTTTGAAAGATGGTTTTGTATTTTCTGTATTTAACTTTGATTTAAAGCCAGAAGGCCAACTAAATTGGCATAAACTACTTTTGTGGGATACATTTTGATGCCTCCTCTACATAATAGGTTGTAGAAATTTTAAATTTATTTGCAAAATTAAGTAAGTAAATGCTGTGACCTGCATCTCAACTTTCTGTGTTAACACTTAAAATCAGCCTAATATGTATGTGATTTCTTCAATATCACACTGTTAATTGGTTGGAGTGCTTGTGCAGAACTCACACTAGGCAACATGGGGAAGCATAATATAACACTACTAGAGGCCCGGTGCACGAAAATTTGTGCACTCAGGGGGGTCCCTCAACCGGGCCTGTGACCTCTTGCAGTCTGGGATCCGGCTGGTTTGCCCTGAAGGGTGTCCCGGATCAGCGTTCATGTTGAGGGTCCCCCCTGGGGTGCCTGGCCAGCCTGGGTGAGAGGCTGAGGGCCGTTTTCAGGCTGTCCACACCCACTTCAGGGTGTGGGGTCCTGCTGGAGTGTCTGGCCAGCCTGGGTGAGGGGCTGATGGCTGTTTGCAGGCTGGCCACAGCCCCTTCATGTTGAGGGTCCCCCCTGGGGTGCCTGGCCAGCCTGGGTGAGAGGCTGAGGGCCGTTTTCAGGCTGTCCACACCCACTTCAGGGTGTGGGGTCCTGCTGGAGTGTCTGGCCAGTCTGAGTGAGGGGCTGATGGCTGTTTGCATGCTGGCCAAGGCCCCCAGAGGGAAACCTCACCCCATGAGGGTGTGGCCACCCTGGGTGAGGGGCTGATGGCTGTTTGCCAGCTGGCCACGGCCCCCAGCCACCCAATTTCTCAGTGGAGGCTGGCTGGAAGCAGGTATCTGGGATTTATTTATCTTCTATAATTGAAACTTTGTTGCCTTGAGCGGAGGCCAAGCCGGCCAGGGCAGGCGGGAAGTTTGGCTTCCTCCATCTCCGGGGCAACCAAGCCTCCTGCTTGCTCCAGCTCCGTGGCTGCCAGGATTGGCTGGTGGGCATGGCTTGGGGCATAGCAGAGGTGCAGTCAATTTGCATGTTTCTCTTTTATTAGATTAGATAGAGATAAAGAGCACAGATGATGGTCCACTGGGGGTAGGAGTCTCCACCCCTTCTGTCACTGTAGAGAGGCACAGGTAGAGGACACCCTCATGCTGGGGCCTGGTCAGCATGTGGAACTGTCTGTCTGGCTGGTGTGGCTCAGTGGTTGAGTGTCGACCTATGAACCAGGAGGTCATGGTACAATTCCTGGTCAGAGCACATGCCCAGGTTACTGGCTTGATCACCAGTGTGGGGCTTGCAGGAGGCAGCCGATCAATGATTCTCTCTTATCATTGATATTTCTATCTCTCCCTTTCTTTTCCTCTCTGAAATTAAATATATTTTTAAAATGTTCTTCAAAGCTCATAATAAACTGAAGCCTAGATTCTTCCAAGTTGTAATATCTCAAGAATTCTTTAAATATCTTTTTTTTAATCTGAGGCAAGTATTATGGTAAAGATTCTGAATCTTGAATATTTCTGTGTCATTCAGATTCAGCTGTGGTAACAGGACACAGGGCTCATGGGAGCATATATGCATACTTCTATGTTCATAAACAACACTGGCATCTGTTGTTTGTAACCTGGGGTGGTATTTGTTTTCTTTCTTTCCTTTTAGGCCCTGGTTGGTGAAGTCCTGGGAATCAACCATTTCATGAACACATTAATGTTTTTTATGAGCTTTCAAGATGTCTCACCCACATCTGATGAAACTGTCACTGTGATGGACACAACTTTCAGCAATGTTCCTGTCCGTGTATATGTACCAAAGCGAAAGTCAGAGGCCCTAAGAAGGGGCTTATTTTACATTCATGGTGGCGGTTTTTGTTTGGGGAGTGCTGGTAGGTACCCTGGGATGTAGTAGAGGTGTGATCAATTTGCATGTTTCTCTTTTATTAGATTAGATAGAGATAAAGAGCACAGATGACAGTCCATTGGGGGTTGGAGTCTCCACCCCTTCTGTCACTGTAGAGAGGAGCAGGTAGAGGACACCCTCATGCTAAGGCCTGGTCAGCATGTGGAGCTGTCTGTCTGACTGGTGTGGCACAGTGGTTGAGCGTCGACCTATGAACCAGGAGGTCACGGTTCGATTCCTCTTCAGAGCACATGCCCAGGTTACTGGCTTGATTGCCAGTGTGGGGCGTGCAGGAGGCAGCCAATCAATAATTCTCTCTCATCATTGATATTTCTATCTCTCTCTCTCTTTCCCTTCCTCTCTGAAATTAAATATATTTTTTAAATGTATTTCAAAGCTCATAATGAACTGAAGCCTAGATTCTTCCAAGTTGTAATATCTCAAGAATTCTTTAAATATCTTTTTTTTTAATCTGAGGCAAGTATTATGGTAAAGATTCTGAATCTCGAATATTTCTGTGTCATTGAGATTCAGCTGTGGTAACAGGACACAGGGCTCATGGGAGCATATATGCATACTTCTATGTTCATAAACAACACTGGCATCTGTTGTTTGTAACCTGGGATGGTATTTGTTTTCTTTCTTTCCTTTTAGGCCCTGGTTGGTGAAGTCCTGGGAATCAACCATTTCATGAACACATTAATGTTTTTTATGAGCTTTCAAGATGTCCCACCCACATCTGATGAAACTGTCACTGTGATGGACACAACTTTCAGCAATGTTCCTGTCCGTGTATATGTACCAAAGCGAAAGTCAGAGGCCCTAAGAAGGGGCTTATTTTATATTCATGGTGGCGGTTTTTGTTTGGGGAGTGCTGGTAGGTACCCCTTGTTGCAAATTTTTCTTATCATATAGCATATAATATATTAATATATTTACTCCGACATTGAAGTTATGTCGGAGTAAATATATTAATAAAATATATGCTATATGATAAGCATATATTAATTAATTATCACAGATAACAGAATACCTCAGCTGTCTGAAATTTCTTTAGTTGGAATTATGTTAGTTTAAAAAATTACTTTAAATTTATTTCTCAAAGGAAATAAATATTCAAAGCTGTAGCAAATCTCAGGTAAGGAGAAAAACTTTCATGAACATAGAAATTTATTATTAAGATTGTTAATTGCAAATAAGAAGGAATGTTGTAATGAAAACCAAAATTAAGTGAGTTGAAGAGTGGAGGAGAAGTGAGGAAATGAAGATGGCAATGGCAGTCTTTTAATAAATTTAGATATGAAGGAAAGATGAGGTTTTAGATAGAAAAGAAGCACAGAGTTGAGTAAGTGTACTTTATTTTTATTTTATGTAAAATATATGTACAGCCTGGCAAGTGTGGCTCAGTTGTTTGGAAGGTCTTCTCGTGCACTGAAAGTTTGCCTGTTCAATTCCCTGTCAGGGCTCATACCCAGGTAATGAGTTTGACCCCTGCTAGGAGCACATATGAAAGGCAAGGAATCAATGTTTCTCTCATACATTGATGTTTCTCCCTTTCTTCCTCTCTCTCACTCTTTCTCTCTCTCTTTCTTCCTCTTCCCCTATCTTTAAAATCAGTAAAAACAAACATATGCTTGGGTGAGGATTAACAAAAATTAAAATGCACATTTTAATTTATTTTATGCACTCATTTCCTATATTTCTACAAATATATCTAAAATATATCATTTTATTATATGCAATATAAATTTTATATCTTATATAAAGTTTACATATTATATATTTATGTTTAAATACATATTTTAAATTTATATATGGAAGGTCTATGAACATGTTTATATGCTGAAGGTAAAGATAGCAATAAATACTTTTAACCAGTTTGGCTCAGTAGACAGAGCAAGGGCTCTAGACCAGAGGTTCTCAACCTGTGGGTCGCGACCCCTTTGGCGGTCGAACGACCCTTTCACAGGGGTCGCCTAAGACCATCCTGCATATCAGATATTTACATGACGATTCATAACAGTAGCAACATTACAGTTATGAAGTAGCAACGAAAATAATTTTATGGTTGGGTCACAACATGAGGAACTGTATTTAAAGGGCCAGAAGGTTGAGAACCACTGCAGACTGAAGGGTCCGTGGCTGGATTCTGGTCAAGGGAATGTACCTTGGTTACAGGCTCAATCCCCAGTAGGGGGTGGGCAAATGGCAGCTGATGGGTGTTTCTCTCTGGATGTTTCTAACTCTCTATTCCTCCCCCTTCCTCTCTATAAAAATCAATAAAAATATATTTTTAAAAAGAAAAGAAAAAGGTAGCAGTAAATAGAAGTGTGTTGAAATGTGGGAGGAGGCACGGGAGGACAGGATGAAGTTTGCCTGACCTACAGGATGTGGGAGGGAACTGGACTCCCTACCAAGGGGAGTATTGACACCACACACAGGGAGGAGCCTAACTTTCTCTGTTATGCTTTCTCTCTGTTTTCAGGAGGGGAAAAAATGAGGTATCGATGAGTACTGATGTAGATTGGAAATGTAAATTGGAGCAGTAAAGGGTGTGATCCTAATATTGTCTATAAATTCAGGCAGTGAAGTCATCAGCTGGCAATGAAGTGATGTTTTTAAGACTAAATCTGAGGAAAAAAAAAAATCTGACTGTGCCACTATGCCATGCCTCAGTTAGTTTCCATGAGTTCCTGCTGCCCAAAGCAGTCCCTTAAAAAATCTTTTCATCAGTGTTTCCCTAAAGAGTTGGGAGCATGCTACCCTAGCCGGTTTTGCTCAGTGGATAGAGCATAGGCCTGCGGACCAAAGAAGCCTGGGTTTGATTCCCACCAAGGGCCCATACCTTGGTTGCAGGCTCCTCCCAGCCTGGGGCCTGGTGGGTGTACGTGCAGGAGGCAACCAATTGTGTTTCTCTCACATCAATGTTTCTCTCTGTCTTCCCCCCTCTTTTCAACTCTCCCTTAAAATCAAAGGGAATATATCCTTGAGTGAGGATTAACAAGAACAAAAAAGAGTGGGAGCATGAAAATATCCTCGAGTGAGGATTAACAAGAACAAAAAAGAGTGGGAGCATGTTTACCAAGGTAAAAAAACTAAATAAGAATAAGCTCTGAAGCAAAATAGTATTTGCCTGATGTTTTCTCTTTCAATATTAAAGAAAATTATACTAAAAATGTATGTCATAATCCAAAATACAAGCATGATTTTGTATAGTAAATGTTAAATAAAAGTTTAAAATTTAGTGTGTATTTTACATTTTAAGAATATTCAGCATCCAACTTTGGAAACATCACAAGAGAATATCTACTCCTTTTTTTATGGTCCACAGGATGTACCTTTTGTGACAACTTTATATCCTGATATTTACCATCAGTACTTTATGATCTCTCCCTCCTCTTGTTACTGGCAAATCCTATTTTATTTTCTTAAATTTTCCTTATGTGCCAAAGGAAGCACTTTTCCAAGTACAATAGCAAACATGTATGACCCCTCTCCACCCCATCCATATTCATGGCCAAAATCACTCCACAGAACACATATCTTCTCATCTGCCTTGGAAATACGAATGCCAACATCAGGTCTCAGCTCTCCCCATTCCCTTTTACTCTTCTTTAACATGCTCTGGCAATTTTTATGAAATCTAATACTATTCCACAGAGCACTCTCTCTACCCCTCCATTAAAGCAACTAGTATATTGCTTTTAGTTTACACGCTTGACCTTCCCAGCCCCTGTCTCCAGTAGGCTGTGACCTCCTGAAATTCAGGGAGGTATATTTATGTTTATTCATTCAACACCTAACACCTGCTGATTGACGAGAGCACAGTTTAATCTTGAGAAGAGTGAAACTGCTTAAATTATACAGTGTAAGATGTGGGGAAGAACAAGAAACCTGACAATGTGCAGGCAACAGGATCACTGAGCAAGAGAATTCATGTTCTCTAGCTGTGATGAAATAGTACAAATTTTTTTCCAAAACATTTTCATGAAGAATGAGGTGTCGTAGTAGGTTTTTTGCTGGGGAAAAAAATGTCTGTCAATTTATTTGTCAGTCTCTGATTTTCTTTTCGTTTATTTCAGCTCAGTATTCTTATGATGTGCTGTCAAGACGAACAGCTAATAGACTTGATGCTGTTGTCATTTCAACCAAGTAAGAGCACCGTTGGTTGGTTTGGGTTTGGGCCAGGTGCCTTATATAGTGAGATGTTTTCAAATGTTCTGCTCATCCCATGGTTATGCCAGGTGTGTTTCAAATGGAAATCAGAGGATGAGAATAGAGAAAGTGACCAGAAAAGACTGAGCGAAAAGAGTTGGAGAGGTGGGTCAAGTGGGGATCAAAAACAGGACGTCAAGAAATTGTCAGAATACAATTAAATATTAAATTTTATTGACTAATGACCTTTGTTGGATTTCTCACCTACTCTTAGCAGAGCGAATAAGGAGGGCTTCAGAGTCAGAGAATCAGGCTCAAGATTTGGTTCTAGAATTTACTGAGTGACTGCGACAGTTAAATCTCATTTTAACTCCATTTTCTCATATGTAAACTGGGATTCATATAATATTTCCTATGTCATAGAGTTATTTTGAAAATCAAATAATAATAAAGTATGTTTAAAGCAATAATATAGTATATTTTGTGGTATAATTCTTCATCAAAAGCAAGTAGTCACTAAATAACCTGGGAATACAGGCACAGTCTATTCTAAAAAGCATTCTAGATCAATAATCAATAATAGAAAATGAAAAAAACACACATAGTAATGACTGCATGCCAACTTGATCATTAGATTAAGTTGGAATAAAATTGTTTAATATTTGTTTAATATTTTTGGTTAGTAATAAAGTATAATGATTACAAAGAAAATAACACTCTGGAAAAAGTTTAGTTAGTTATCATCTGGGATTTTTTTTTCCTTAAACCCTATCCAAGTTTTGCATTTGGGCCTCTATTCATGCAAAAATGACATTTGTGAAAGTTTTCATATCCAGCATTATCATTAGGATTAAGTCTGGCTTTAGATTCATTGTAATTCAAAATATGTTTGCTAAAAAAAAAATTTTACTTTTGATTTTAAGGCAAGAGCATGCACACAAATGGGTGCACACACACACACATTCATTTTTATTATAAATATTGACTTAAAGAACATTGTTTTTCTACCCACAGCTATAGACTAGCACCTAAATACCACTTTCCAAATCAGTTTGAAGATGTGTATAATGCATTAAAGTGGTTCTTACGCAAAGATATTCTTAAAGGCTATGGTGTAGATCCCAAAAGAATTGGTATTTCTGGAGACAGTGCTGGAGGGAATTTAGCTGCAGCAGTGACTCAACAGGTATGTTGCTTAGATTTGTTTCATTTTTAAAAATATCCTACACCTAAATTTTTTATTTAAAACATTAAAATATTAATGCAAATATGTTATATTAATACATTAGAGATCATATCAGAGAACATTAATATATCTAGTACCTCTAATCCTACCTCCTGCCATATTTATAAAAATAAAATGATAAAATCTTCTTTCTACTGTAGATCATTGGTTTAAACCTAATTGGTATGGTCAGGTAAGTACCACAGTGTTTGTTATATTAGGGGATTGCACTTGTGAAATCAATCAGTGACACTAATCACCATGACCAGAGAATCAGATGATTTCAGTATTCTTTAGTGGAGTATGCTAAAACTTGCATGAAAACTGTTACCAGAATAATAAAGTTGCCTATGGACAAAAAAGTTAGCAGGTTCATAAATACTCTTCACTTGCAGAAGGAACTATACTTTTCATATATCAATGAATACACTATTTCTATGACATTTAGCTAAAACTAGACACCTATTAACTATCGATTAAATGTGGTAATAATCAATTATAATTAGTCTAATAGATTATGAGTAAAATTGCTTTGGATACTGGTTTATCTAACCTAGGAAATAAACTCAGCACTGATGGCTTGGAAGCAATGTTCCTGTAGAGAAAAAAAATTCTAATGTATTTACAAATAAATGTCTACAATTTAATTATAATCATAAAAATTGCACAAAAAATTTATTGTGCTACAAAACAAAGTTTGCTGTTGTTTTTATTGTTTATTTTCATACGCATTTTAAAGTATATAAATTTTGGCTATTGGTAGTTTTAGGATAATCATCTTGTTTTCAACAAAAGAAAAGATACCAAAAATTATGTGCACATAGCCTACGCAGGGATGCACCTAGTGTGCCCAGCTCAGGTGACTTGGGAGGCTGAGCCACTGGGTCCTACAGGACATCTACTACACAAGGCCACTCTACCAATTCCAGGAGATATAACAGCTCTACCCAATACATAGAAACAAACATAGGAAAACAGCCAAAATGGGAGACAAAGAAGCATCACAAATGAAATAACAGAAGAAATCTCCAGAAAAAGAACTAAATTAAATGGAAGCAAACAAACTATAAGATAGAAAGTTTGAAACAATAGTTATATGGATGCTCAATGATTTAATAAGAGCTTCAAGAGCCTTAGTGGGAATTTCAAGGATCTTAGTGAGAATTTCAAAGAGATGAAAAAGAACCAGTAAAAAATTAAGCATTCACTAACTGAAATAAAGAATAATTTACATGGATTCAACAGTAGAGTAGAGGATTCCAAGAATCAAATCAGTGATTTGGAATATAAGAAAGCAAAAAACACCCAAGCAGAAGACAAAAAGTAATCCAAAAATAAGAAGGTAGTGTAAGGAGCCTCTGGGACAACTTCAAGCATACCAACATTTGTATTATGAGGGTGCCAGAAGGAGAAGAGAAAGAGCAAGATATTGAAAACCTATTTGAAGAAATAATGACAGAAAACTTCTCCTAGCCGGTGAAAGAAATAGACTAATAAATCCTGGAAGACCAAACAAGATGAACCCGAAGAGGCCCACACCAAGACACATCATAACTAAAATGTCAAGGGCAAAAGACAAAGAGAGAATATTAAAAGCAGCAAGAGAAAAAGCAGTTAGTTACCTACAAGGGAGTGCCCATACAACTGTCAGCTGATTTCTCAACAGAAGCTATGCAGGCCAGAAGGAAGTAGCAAGAAATATTCAATGTGGTGAATAGCAAGGACCTATGACCAAGATTACCCAGCAAAGCTATCATTTAGAATTGAAGGTCAGATAAAGAACTTCATAGATAAGAAAAAGCTAAAGGAGCTCATCACCACCAAACCAGTATTACATAAAATGAAATGTTGAATGGTATTTTTGAAGGAGAAGGAGAAGAAGAAAAGAATTAGAAGAAGAAGAAGAAGAAGAAAGAAGAAGAAGAAGAAGAAGAAGAAGAAGAAGAAGAAGAAGAAGAAGAAGAAGAAGAAGAGAAATAAATACTATCTATCATCAATTGCATCTAAAAATCAAAATAAGCAGACAAAGAATCTAACGAACAAAATAAACTGATGAATAAAATAGTACTAGAGGCATGGAAACAAGGAACAGATTAATGAATCTCAGAGGGAAAGGGGTTGGGGGTGAGGGGCAGGAAAGGATTAACCAAAAAATTCATATACATATATGCATTTCCTAAGGACACAGACAATAGAGTGGTGAAGGCGTGGGGCAGGGCAGGAACCAGGTAGATGGAGGCAATGGGGGAAACAAAGAAAAACATTTGTAATACTCTCAACAATAAATATTTTTTTTAAAAAAAAAAGAATGAAGGAGAAAAAAGAAACATTCAGATAAGCTAAAACTAAGAGAACTTGCTATTAATGGAATACCCTAAGACTACTTTGAGTAAAGTGTTTCAGATGAAATGAAAATGCAGATGAAATTTTAATATGCAGGAAGAAGCAAAGAGGAAGAATGTGGTAAAATGTGAGTAAATATTAATAAACTTGAATATTTTAAAATAATAAGATATATATAGAATTAGAATATGACCAAAAAAACTATAAGTTAGGAGAAGATAGATTTTAAATCTTATAAGGTATTTTTTATCATCTAAGAAGAAATACTTAGAATTGGCTTTTGAGAAGTTCATTAGTCTTTGAGAAGTTAATAATACATATTTTAATGTTTAGGGTAATCAATTAAAGAATGAAAACAGGGTATAACATAAATGACTACAGGAAAAAAATAGAATAATTGAAACATCAACCAACCTGAAAGAATGCAAAAAATAGAGAAAAAAGAAAAAGAAGATGCACAAAATAAGGTGGTAGGTCACAACTAATTATTTCAGTAATTATAACCATTTGTGCCCTAAATGATCTTGCTATAGTACGAAGATTATCAGATTAAAAAATAAGCAGAAAATTTGAAAGCAAATGGATGGAAAATGTACACACTGTAATAATATTTAAAAGAATTGCTAGATAAATAAGATCACATCATTTCAGAAAAGGATTCAATAGCCAATGAAATAAAACTCTAAATCTATATGGATTTAATAACATTAAATACATAAAAGAATGACAGGAGAAAACACAAGTTTATGACCACAACAAGAGGTTTAATAATACTACTTTTAGCAATGAAGAGAACAGGGGGCAAAAATAATACATGTATAGAGGAGTGGAATAACAATCACTAAGTTTCATTCAGTGGAACAGGCAAATAAGCAAGTACATGTGATCATATTTAAAATTCAACCAAGTACTGGGCCATAAAAAAGCCAGTCTCAAAAAAATCACAGAATTTAAATTGCGCAACATTTGGACTTTTACTATAATGAAATAATGTGGGAAATCAACAAGAAAAAGACAAATAACATATGCTTCTATGAAAATTTGGAAATTTTAAAAAATAGACTAAACACCTATGAGTCACTATTTAAAAGAATGCATCTTTTTATATGTTCTCTACATTTAGAACTATATTTATAGGAAATTGTACTTTCTCAAAAGCATGTTAGAAAATAAGGAAGGCTGAAATAAGCATCCGACTTAAGAAATAAAGTCAATAAAATGAAGATAATGACAAGAACAGAAATTATGATATTCAAACAAGCTGAGAGTAAGTATAACGAAAAGCAAAAAGTTAATTATTTGAAAGGACTAATAGATTTTTAATACTCTTAAAAGACAATTGAGGAATAACAAAAGTTTGGTACAAATGTCAGAAAGGTACAACTCTTCAGACATAAAAAAGAAATAGTCTTTGATGAGTTAAGAATGCACATTGTAATTCGTGAAAGCAATATTTGAACAACTTTGAAATTAAAACATCTAATAATATTTTAATTGAATTAACAAATAAGAAAAAATATATCATGCAAAACAGACATGATAAGAAATGAAAACCTGTCATTTTATAATCACAAAATAAATTACATAAATAAAAAAAAATAGTTCCCCTAAGAAACTTCACTGGCAATTTGCTTCAAACATTTAAGAAGAAATAAATCTAAAACAAATACAAAATATGCCAGAGAATGGGGAAAATATGTACACTCTTCAGTTTTTTTCAGAGAAACATGGTATTTATGACCAACTAATCACATATTAGTCTTTTTTCCTACCCATGAGGAGAGTAGTACAAATTGTTTTGTTTCTATATATAGTATTTAAGTGTAGATACTGAATCTTAGGTATAATATTGAAAATTGGCAAGTTCTTTGAGATATATTTTTTATTATTTCTGACTATCTTTTTGAAATGTTGAATTTATCATATTAGCCTCATAAATGAAAATATATAATATTAGTAAAAATTATTATTTCAACAACTTACTTTAAATAATTTTCAGCTCATAGATGATCCAGATGTCAAGATCAAACTCAAGATCCAGTCTTTAATTTATCCTGCCCTTCAGACTCTTGATATGGATTTACCATCTTTACGGGAAAACTCACAGATTCCACCTCTGCCCAAATCACTCATGGTCAGGTTTTGGAGTGAATACTTTACCACAGACAGATCACTTGAAAAAGCCATGTTCATCAATCAACATGTACCAGTGGAATCAAGCTACCTCTTCAAGTTTGTTAATTGGAGTTCTTTGCTCCCAGAGAATTTTAAGAAAGGGCACTTTTATAGCAGTCCAACTCATGGTCCTTCTGAGCTAGCTAGAAAATATTCAGGGTTTCTAGATGTGAGGGCAGCCCCCTTATTGGCTGATGACAACAAGTTGCGTAACTTACCCTTGACCTATGTAATCACCTGTCAATATGATGTTTTAAGAGATGATGGAATCATGTACGTCACCCGACTTCGGAATGCTGGAGTGAGGGTGACCCATAACCACGTTGAGGGTGGATTCCATGGACTAATTACTTTTCCTGGATTTAAAATTGGACATAGAGTAGAAAATCAGTATCTGAGTTGGCTAAGTGAAAATCTATAGTAAAAATCTTAGCAGTGGTTTATAAGAATATATAAGCCTCAAATATAAAACAAATTAGTGAGATTCAAAAGTTATGTTTAAATTTCTCTTTATCACTCGTGACCTTTCTAAGGTCCTCTGAACCACTGTGATCTTGTTGTTGTTTGTGGGTTTTTTGTTTATTTGTTTGTTTGTTTTGTTTGCTTTTTTACTGAGTGGATTCTTCTCTATTCTTTATTCTAAGTATTGTTTACTCACATCTGTATCTTAGAAAATGTCTACATTCTTAAATATTTTTTCTTGCTACTAAAGTGCCTAAGAGACCACTGATATTAATTTTGGTATCCTAGAACAGAAATAGGCTTGCTCACATTAAGAAGTGGATTTTATAGTAATAGGTGGCATTATATTGAAGCAAATACTTTGAAAAACATTTGGCACAGAAGTCATATTAGTGACCTACAAGGTTGTTTCAAGGCACTAAATTCATTTCAGTAAAAGCTCTGGTATTTTACAAGCCAGATGTGTTTGTTTAAACCTTTTTTCTCAACAATAATACTATTAGAGTTAGACAATCAAAAAACTAAGGCTATAAATTACAGCTATAAGAAATGAATAATGTAGTCTGTTTGTTTTAAAGAAAATGCCACGTTTATTACAAAATATGTATGGAAATAAAATGGATATCAAAAAACATGATTTTTGTTTTGAGGAAACAAATTTGGTGGATTTACAGATTGCAAAACAATATAAAGCTACCATAGTCATGATGGTATGGTATTTCAATACAGATAAGCAACTAGATAATACAACAGAATCCAGAAACCATTTCATATATTTAGAGTCAATTGTTGAGATAAAGTTGCCAATGTAATTCAATTCCAAAAGTGTTATATATATTTTAAATGGTTATTAAACATTTGAATATTCATATAAAATACCCTTAACCCTGACCTAGACTTACTTCACATTATAGACAAAAATTAACTCAAAATGACTCATTGATCTAAATATAAAAACCTAATTTTAAAACTTCTGTAAGTTTTATTTTTTTAGATAGGACTACGTTTTACTTGAACTATTGCATCATATAAGCTATCATTGTATTGTAGTGTCAGCTGTGTGGACTATTTCCAGTATTATACAAAAAACACAGTCTAGGCACTGTCAACAGGCTTAGTACAAATGATTTTTTGAACACTGATGTAGCATTGTAATGTGAGTATTTGAATATTTCATGAGCAAAGCAGGAGCTTTGTGATATTTTTATAAATCTTAATTGAAAATTACATTGAAATAGTTAATAATTTTATTTACAATTCAGTCCTTTTGCTAGTTTGAAAAAATAAGTTGGACACATTTTAATGCCTAAAATGAATGTATAAGACTAATGCAGCCCTAACTGGTTTGGCTCAGTGGATAGAGCATTGGCCTGCAGACTAAGGGTCCCACGTTCGATTCCAGTCAAGGGTATGTACCTTGGTTGCAGGCACATCACCAGTAGGGAGTGTGCAGGCAGCTGAATCGATGTTTCTAACTCCCTATCCCTCTCCCTTCCTCTCTGTAAAAATTCAATAAAATATATTTTTAAAAATAGACTAATGCAGTCAAACAGAGATGCATAAGCTAGTGCAGTTCCTGAAAGAGCTACAAAAAGACAAGACTGGAAGAAAGTATATTGAAAACTTTATAACAAGTGGCAGCTGAAATTTTCTGTAGCAGAGAAAAACAAGAGGCTACTTGTCTGTTGTATAAAACAAATTGTGAAAATAATAAAGTGGATAATATGAATAGACATAGTAGCTAATGCATAATTTTAATAAGTTCCTTTTCAAAAGTTAAAAAAATTAACACATTTACCTGAAAACAGAATTAAATTTTCAAGAAAATGTTTGTAAATTATTTTTAATGTGATCTGAGTTTATAACTTTGGCCAACTATAGTTTGGATTCTTATACAAAAAAGAAAATCATTTTTAGATGGAGAGGTGGTAATAGATATAATTACAGTGTTTGTTAGAAAATTATGAAATAAAGGCTAAAATAATTGTTTAGAAAAGTGAAATATTTTAAATTAAGACACCAAACAATTATATGTATAATGCAAAATATTTGTAATAATACCAAAGATCAGTTAATTAAAAATTTGGAAAAGTACAAGCCCTTTTAGTTTTAGATGAGTTGTGTGATATGAGACACTGCCCAATTAATACTCTGGGTATGTTTGTCTCAAAAATACTCCAAATTCACACACACAGACACACACACACACACACATACACACACACAAATATGTCTACTTGTGACCAAAACTATTGAACTCACAACATGGATATGTTTGAATATTTTGTATCCATCAAAAGTTAGTTTTAACTAGTCATGAAAAAAATTATCATCACAGAAAGTACTCTAGCTAGGTGTGTTAGGCAAGATTCAAGACTTAATGGAATTTTAAAACAAGAGACAATGTTTCCTTACTGCTTCCTTCCCCTGTGTGGTATCTACTGAAAGGGTTTGGCTCAGCTTTCTGAAAATAACTCTGAGAAGTACCATGGATACTCTTTTTGAAATTTTTAGTATATATGTGGAAATGTTATGAATCCTTCCTAATTTATGAATCTATTGAAATAAAGAGAATATAATGATTTTAATCCTCTTGTGGTCTTTAAAAAATGCTTGTTGTTGAGTCCTTAGAGAGTTTTACAAAGATTTATTATACTATTCATTTTAAGGTTTTCTTGAAACAAAATGAATGTTTGCCAATTGTATAAAAAAACGGCAGTGTGGCTTGTTTCTCATATGAATAAGCTAGCTCTGAAGCTCCAAGTAAAGAAAAGCTTACCTGTGACCTAGCTAGACAGGTGCCAAATTTTGTATTGAAATACACACTTTTTATTATCAGATCAGCGATAATGGTTTGTGCACATTTCTAACAGGAATCAATATACAGAAGGTGTTAATATACAATTGAAATCATTATGTAAATTGGCTGCAAAAAGAACAAGAAATATTGGAGAACATGTCATAGCTATTGATAAATTTGGAGCTGCTTTTCGATTTAGTCATTACTCCTTTAATTTTAGTGTTAATTATATTGAGTTGACACAAGAGTTTTTAAATTTACTTACATTAAATAAATATAGTTTTAAAACTGATACTTTTTTCTTAAAAGTCAAATGAATTATTTTTTTTACTGATGAAGCAATTTGTCAATATGGATGAATGTGAATAATAAAGAAAGATTATTTTTGTACTTAATTTATTATTGGAAAACTGCTAAATGTGCTTATGAAAACTTGAGTATGTGGTTCTATAGTTTCAATAATAATTTCATAAAGGATTAGTACAAAAATATCTTATTTTTATATTGATTATTAAATATTAGTAAAGTTAATTTAAACCATTTTACCTTTCATTGATGTTTATGCTAGAAAATTTAAAATTACATATGTGGCTTGCATTTGTAGCTCACATATTTCTAATGAAAAGCAGTGATATAGGTTATTCTTAACTTGTTTTTGTTATGTATGAAATTTCTAGAAAGTTCACTTTAACACATTTTTAAACTAGCTATAAATACTATGTGATCATTTTTTGGAAGCTTTGTGGGAGTTTCAAATAAATTAGTTATCGTTGGATAGGAAATTTGGGGGATATGTTTTAATGTCAACATACATATTTAGAAATATCCTGGTATATATTTTACTGCCCTGTCTATATTTGAATGTTTTATTATATGTGTAGTTACAACCCCTTGTTAAAAGAGATACTAAGCCCTGACCAGATGGTTCAATTAGTTAGAGGGTCGTCCTGATACACCAAGGTTGCGAGTTCGACCCCAGTCAGGGCAAATACAAGAGTCAACCAATGAATGCATAAATGAGTGCAACACCAAATTGATATTTCTCCCTCCCTCTCTCCCTTCCTCTCTCTCTTTCAAATCAATACATTTTTAAAAAGAGATACTAAAAAGAAAGCAAATATTTAAAAAGAGGTTTAATTTATTTGACTGTAAGAAAGGCATTATAATTCCCTTTCAGTTAAAGAAAATATCATAAAAGAAATTAACTGAAAGGCTATTGTGCTTCCGCCTCTGAGTTTGGGATTGGGCAGATAGCCATGAAACAAGTTCTCAGAGTTAAGTCTCTATTAGTAGAGAAAAGCAGAGAGAGGAATTAAAACATGACTTATGCTTTAACAGAAATATACCTGTAACTGTATGGGTGCATGGGTCAGGGTCCAGCCTGTTCAGATGCTGTCTTCAGTGAGGCAGAGATGTTAGCTCATATCATAAAACCCATTGCACTTGGAGTGTTTTCCAAGCCACAGAACTTGCCAGACTGAGGAAATTACAAAGGGAGGTGAATACATTGGCTATTTCTTCAGCCTTGTGAAAGCATGCAAAGTCTTGGCACTCAGAGGCTGCAGCCTGGCAGCTGAAAATCCTAACTATGGGAAAGAAACTCCCCAAGATTGTTTGTGCTGCCTGACTTATAGCCATGTGGGCGAGCCCATGAAGGATATAGCCAAATCGTCACTTCCTAGTCCACAGTTCTCTCCTGCTTCCCATCATTCAACCAGTGACCCTGCCAAGCTGAGGCACTGCATTGCAATATTAACAATTGCCATAAGATTTCTGAAATCTTATGGGCATGCATTATGATTTCTGTCAGTGTTGGCCTTGTGTCTTTCTGCTGCAATATATATCACTTTAGTTAAATTCCTTTGGACCATCAACAACGAAGGAGAACCCATTTGATAGATGAATTGGAGTCAAGCTAATTTTCCAGGATCCGGTGAGAAGATTGAGGGGAGGAAATGCAACCACTTTCATACTGGCTGGTTTCTCTCGTGTGAGATTTTTAAAAATATATATTTTATTGATTTCAGAGAAGAAAGGGGGGAGAGAGAGAGAGAGAGAGAGAGAGAGACATCAATGATGAGAGAGAATCATTGATCAGCTGCCTCCTTCACGCCCCCTACTGGGGATCGAGACCACAATCCAGGGATGTGCCCTTGACCAGAATCGAACCTGGGACCCTTCAGTCTGCAGCGCTCTATCCACTGAGCCAAACCGACTAGGGCTCATGTGAGATTTTTTTACAATATCCACAATATTTCAAGATTGTGAGCAGATTTCTGAATCCTTAGGTATTAATTAAAGTGTTGAGATGAACTCAGTGAGAATCCTATACTCTCAAATTGCAACCTTTGCTAAGCATGTGAGAAAAGCTTTAATTTATGATTGGAAACATATTTAAATATTAACACTTCATTGCTTAACAGAAAATAGAATCCTAGATTTCAGATATAATTTAAATTCTAAATTCCAAATATTTTGGGAACTTATTTATACCTGCAACATATGTCCTGCCTGGGTGAAAGTTTCTTTGAATCTGAGTGAAACCGAATTCAGAAAAAAAAAGAAAAAGTTGAGAATTTGCTTTACCAACAAACTCTTATGTCAGTATGCTTACAGTGTAGTGTAGGAGGGATTGGTGTGTCATTATTTTTATTTCCTTGTTTGTTCTCTAGTACACAGATCCTTGTAAATGAAACAGCCTTTCCTAACATACTTGCCCTATGCACCATGCTTCTCTGTTCTCAACCTTTGCTCACAGGTAAGGAGGAAGACTTTCCCCAACCATTCATTCTTGGAAGTGCATCTTGTTTGAATCTTATGTAATATGCGTTACCTAAAAGGAGCAGTGTGATCCAGGTGGACAGCGGGGGGAGGGGGGAGGAGGGGGCGTCAACAAAATTGTTTTCATACTCGTGTAAAAGCTTTATGTCTTTAATTCATAGACTTCCACTTAGAAGACATGGTGCCTTTTATCTATTTTTAATGGACTAATAATCCATCCACAATCAAGGTGCAGGGAGTTTTGGTTCCCATTGGTCACTATGCCTTTATTCAACTCCTCTTTCTGCACTGTATA